ATTACTCGTGGATAAATTATCCTTAGTCCTCTTTTAATGAATAAAAGAAAGATTTTAATATTCAAAGGGACCTTAAGCCGCCAAGAAAATTTTAAACTATTACTGAAAAGGTATCTATGCATCGTATTAGCTGAACAAACCCGTTTTTTTTGTGTATATCTCCATGCAAAAACATCATTACCTTGTTACCCTTATCCTTCAAGTATAAGCTTGAAATCCTCGCAAAAAAAAGTATAAGCTTGAAATATCTTGGACATGTGCATCTCAAACAATCGGTCGGTATAAAAAAAATGGCGCGTCCTATATCATGTAGTGTGAATACGGTTGTACGTCAACACAATCAAATGGAACAGATCAGCTGTCTGGTTTGTGACAGATCCGTAGCTGACCAGGTAACGTAATAGAGAACCCTACATATTGGAGACGAAAGATATACTATTATTATTGAAACATAGAATCCTTATCCATTTTTACATATTGGAGTATATTGAACTTGTCCAAGTCCAAAGTTGTGTGTTCGCCTCTATATAAGAAGCCCATGGTCTCCGAGACCTTCGTACATCAGACGTACCCAAAGGCAGAATCAGAAGCTTTGTGCAGGCCAGCATCGGCGACCAACAACTAACTGCAACGTCAGTGGCAACGTGCCGGAGATCAAGTTCACCAAGCTTTTCGTCAATGGAGTGTTCGTTGATGCTTTCTTTCGTTCTTGATCGCCTTTACTTCGTTTCCTCTTCATTTAGCAAGCATGTTACTGTCCTGTGTGACCTTGAATTTATACAGGCAATACATTTGAGACACGGGACCCGCGGACGGGCGATGTGCTGGCCCATGTCGCAGAGGCGGACAAAGCCGACGTGGACCTGGCCGTGAAGGCTGCCAGGGAGGCGTTCGAGCTAGGCGCGTGGCCCACATGTCAGGCTATGTAAGTACTCCAATGCATGCCTAGTGACACTGTGACAGGCGGCAGTTGATCGGGCATCGCTGCAATGCAATGCATCACTTCCGCGTGAATTGATGTTGCAATCTTTGATAATCTTCGATGACGCCGACGTCGACATGGCCGTGAACCTGTCACGACTCGCCATCTTCTACAACAAGGTAGTAGTGTTGCATTGCATGCGTCGATGTTGCTGTAATCCTGACCACCTGAATGTCGCACGTACGCATGCAGGGCGAGGTCTGCGTGGCGGCGTGGCCGGATCGCGCGTTTATATGCAGGAAGCTACGACGAGTTCGTCAAGGCGGCCCAGAACTGGAAGGTTAGAGACCCTTTCGACGCCAACACCAAAATGTGCCCCCAGGCTTATGTATATCCTTCTGCTGCATCAAACAGCAATCCTGTCGAAATGCTAGCAAGGATTTCTTCAAAAAAAATGCTATCAAGGAGCAATCCTGACAAGAAGGCCTGCATTGATAGTCACAAAAAAAAGGCCTGCATTTATGGATTTCTTCCCCGGCCTGGCGGTCCGGCGGCCCATGCACCGTAGGTTGACAAGGAACAATTTGAAAAGGTCCTCGGTTACATTCAGCATGGCAAGAGCGAGGGAGCGACTCTGCTCACCGGCGGCAAGCCTACCGGTGACAAAGGCTACTACATCGAACCTACCATCTTCCCAGATGTCACGGTACGTAGTAACAAAAGAAGCACAACCACCATCCATCCAAATAGAAATTGGTTATTACAGTAAGATGCTCACCTAGCTGGAACGGTTGACTCGCCACCACACCAGGATGACATGAAGATCGCGCAGGAAGAGATATTCGGCCCGGTGATGTCCCTCATGAAGTTCAAGTACGTGATGACAAAATCTCGCATCCATCAGAACGAACGAAGAGGCGCACCGTGTTGCATTCTGAGTTTCTGACGACTGACCAGACATTGCGTATTAAATTAACTGCGTTTCTTGTTGCATGCAGCCATGCAGGACGGTGGATGAGGCGATCGAGCGGGCCAACCGCACCAAATACGGCCTCGCCGCCGGGATCGTGACCAAGAGCCTCGACGTCGCCAACCGGGTGTCGCGGTCGGTGCGGGCGGGCGGGCACCGTGTGGGTCAACTGCTACTACGCCTTCGACCCGGACGCGCCCTTCGGGGTACACAAGATGATGAGCGGCTTCGGGCGAGACATGGGCGTGACCGCCATTGACAAGTAAGTACCTGCAGGTCAAGAGCGTCATCACCGCGCTCCCCGACTCTCCATCATGGCACTGAATGCAGATGCAGTGTTCTTGCTCCATTGTCAACACGACCTCAATCTATTTACAAGGCCCAAGCCTCGTACCATAGCTCATATTTCATTCTGAATCATTTTACTATTCTTTTTCATCATTGAATGTCACTGTTCCACCCACAGTCACCACTACGGATCATGTGATATATACAGTACATTTTTTGAACCGAGATTTTCCAGACCATCCCTTTTAACGTGGCACTGCTTGACTCCAAGCCACAAGCCCACAAACATGGGTCGGTTAGGCACTACCGATCATTTGCTCCGTTTGAGTTGGGCCAAGGGGAGTAACACCTGGTCCCACACCCCTTCCTACAGGCTAGGGCAAACATCAGTTTAAAATCCAGCCCGAGGAGCCTGACCGGCCCATCTGACGTCCAACGGTCCAACTCAAGCGGTCACTTGACCGTTTGGATCAGGGCACGCCTTTCTCCAGTGCGCCTTCTCCGGTCGTCAGGAACTCTTTGTTCACTGCCCACGCCGAAAGCATTTTCTCCCGTGCCTCTCTGATGCCTCGCACCAAACTAATCCAATGCCCCCCAAAACCTTACTGTTGAGGGCACCGGAGATCGAGGCACACAGCATCACCGGAAACTTCTGGTGCCCTGCACTAGAGAAAGTGCCACGCTTTCAAAATTTCCCAAAGTGCTTGAGCTGCTACCATGTGTCTCCTCAACTAACGCATTCTCCGGTGTCATGCTCCTCAGCAACAACGCAAATCCGGTGCCATCAAGCACAAGCACAGTAAAAAAAACTGCACAACACAGGCACAAACCGCAATCTTCGTTGGTCTCTGCGGGGCATCATCGGACTTTCCCGGTGGTAGCAGAAACAATCCACCGACATCCATTTCAAAACCATTTTCAAATGCCTAACTCCCCAAATGTTGTCCAACGTGACAACAACACCTTTAGCACTGAGTTAGCATTTCAAAGTCATTTTGTAAAGGTTTTCACTTATTGCTTTTTACGCCCCTCAATCTAAATGCATCGCGAGTTAGATCTCACCTAGTGACACTAGATAACCAATTAGCAATCAAGAAAGCCCCTATTGACAGTACGGATATCTATCCTAAACCTGATCAATCGTAACATTAGACCTATGAAATAAAATGCCCTATGAATGTACATTTGCCTTGTGCATTCCATCTCCATATTGGTGATGCCACTCAAGCATCCAACTTCCATCTTCACCAAATGATGACCAATGGTCATCCATATATGTAGCCAACGACGCTACCTTGACCATTGCCCATAGCATGAAGTTCCTCCATGAAGCCACTTGATTATCAACACAAATCAATGTTTGCCTTTATCATCTTTGAATGGTATGATCCACTTTATGGTTCATCGGTGCTATGCCCTCTACTCACACTTCACCGCCTCGGTGGTCCATCATGTCACGAGCCTCTAGCTTGCCCTTCAGCCCGGCAATCGGTCCTTCTTCGCAACCAAGCCTCGCTTTAATCTTCTCCAACTAGCCATTTGTTATTATGGCATGCCTCATATTCAGTAAGATCCTCCATCTTTACTAATTGATAACTCGCATCACGAACAAGCCATCTCTCCTTCATGGCTTATATGTTTTGCTCAACCTAGTGTGTGTGGACTAGTAAGTGTTCATCTCACATGAAACATGTTCGTCCACCTATGCTTGTCACTCCATTACCAAAATCAAGGGATTTTCAGCAATGGCAAGTTGTCGGCGCTGGAGCGTATGGCATGCGTGCAACTCATGATGGACGAACATGTTTATGTGTTGGAAAGAACTTTAGCACCCTAATGCTACTACATCGGGTCTCTTCAAACGTGTTTATGTTTTCCGAACTATCATAGATGAGGATAGACTCCACCCGTCTCTGATGCGGCTGCCTCTAATCTGGGACTCGAGTTTCTATAGGCTTGTCTGCCCGTCTATGATGTAAGTAATCAGAGACAGAATTAGACAACAACTATCTCTGATATGGACCCAAATATCCCGTATACACTACTACAATAAGCATTTGTAGGGGCCGCTGGCGATGGTTTGTAGAGGTGGCTCAGCCAGCCGCCCCTATCATACCGTCTCTACAAATCATGCATTTGTAGGGGCGGTTCACAGACCGTCCCTAAAAATCGATTTATAGATGCAGCTGGTGTTATCAGCCGCCCCTATAATCCCTGTTTATAGGGACGGTTCAGTCTAGAACCGTCCCTACAGTATATTTTTTCGTCAAAAAAAATTTAAATTTACTATTCAAATTCGACCAAAACATATATATATATATATATATATATATATATATATATATATATATATATATATATATATAATTCAAATCTGATCAGAACATATATAATTCAAATCTGACCACAAGCACAAGAGCACAAGGTGTTGGTACTGAGGATTTCTACCTAAGTGAACGTTACAAGTATTTACACTACTCCCTAACCAATATGTAAAACAACAGGAAACTAGAAGGTATGGCTTTCCATTTCACCATTATGGTCACTGACATAGAGTTCAATTCACAGAGTCCAGGTATATCATCTCTTCAATCTGCAAGAAGGCAAGTTATAGTCATAGTGTAAGGCAGGATTTTTGAAACATAGCATAGCTAGAGTTCAATTCACAATTATTCCTATTCCCCCAAAACATCAAATATGCATTCATTTCGAGCAATTGAGGCTATCGCAAAAGAGAACAATCCATGGACCAGAAGAGAAACTGTTACAAATCATCCAATTTCTAACAGGCGACTTCTGGATTTGTGAAAGAGTGGATGATTAAGTGTGCAAATAGCAGATGCAGAGGGAAGACTGAAGAGTGAAACCATACGAATAGCGTCGCAGGATGAGACGTTGATAGTCCCTCAGCAAAGGTCCTAGTTCCTGCAGTTGTAGTGAGCTTGCCGGAGAACTTTTCCAATGTTCACGAAGTACCTTGACATCACACAAAAAATCCAAAGTTCTCTCAGAAGCAAATACAGGCGAGTTACATTAATAGTGAGGCATAACTGCGTAAGCACCTGAATTGATGCAACCTGGTCACTAGCTGGAAGCGATTGACCAGCAAGCCTAGATGACAATTCCACAAGTTCTTTATCATTGACTTCGTCAACAAAACTTGCTGAAACTTCCTCAGAAAGTGGAATTCCCAGTCGTTGGGCCAATTCTGTTATTGGATTCTCCAGAGCTTGTGACTCCTGCAAAACATATTTTAGAAATTATAGAATTTTCTATCACCTGAAATTTTCAAAGTGAACTCTCACACATATGCAAGCATGTACCGTTAGGTTGGATTGCTGGTTATCACCAGTCACAGCGCTAGGTTTGCTGTTTGAATCAATGTTAGGAGCTAAGTCTCGTTTCGCAATAGGATCATCTGTACATAAAATACGGTGCAATTTAGAAAAGGGAAAGTGATCTTTCTTCGTCAAGCATCACAGAGAAAGAAAAAAAATCAAGAGCATTAGGGGAAAGTTTACTTTTTAAAAAACAACAACTCATTTCATACTATTTGGTAAATGAACCTACATCATAAGTGGTACAGTTTCCTAATATATATTATAGAAGCAATTAGTCAAATGAGTTCCTTTTTCTTGTGATCTTGGAAATCGACAAAACTCCTCACTTGTCACTACTGAACCATGCATGGAAGTTTAAAGGGTATGACTGCAGGACTATGAACTGAAAAATTTATGTGCAGAGTTTTATATACCAGTACACTCTACGCAGCCCTCAAGATACCAAGCATATAGGAATGAAGTGTTTCTTTTCAGATAAGCATGAGATGACTGTACCTTCAGGAACAAGCCACCACAAATCACCAAACGTATTCTTTCCATCAAAGCCGCCAAATAAAAGAAAACGAGACCCTATGGAAGTCATGGAATGATATGCCCGAGGAGGAGGTGGTTCATTGCTTGTTGGTAGGCGCTTCCATTGAACAGACACTGTGAAGGATGGAAGTATCAGCCAACAAAGATACATGTGCTGATTGAGCAAGTGCCATGAAAGGTAGGTCAGCATTAAAACAAAGCAATGAATCATGGAGATGGTACTAGTTGTCAGCATTGTGTTTAGTATATCCACAATAGCCTAGTTTGTCGCCATTGAGTTGACAGTGGTAAGATCAGTCGGAGTTAGAAGATTGGCCTTCAGATAGGAAGTTCTAACAATCTTTCAATCTACCAAAGAAGCGAACTAGCTCAGGCCAAAAATACCCTGAATCAAACTCACTCAAGCATGACCCAGTTTCAGGCAACCGTCACTAGTGTCTAAGGCAAGCAATAGATGTTGGAACTAGATGTACTGCACCTATCTGAACTTACCAGAATCAGCGCATTCCGGGACCTGCAGAATGTGAATGGGCTGACAAAAGAAACTGTTCATTATTTTTGGATAGGAAGCAGAAATCATGAGGTATGCAAGTAAATAAAAGACCTCCAATTCTGAAAACAAAACTGTATGTACCCACCCCACACTAAATTGTCTGTGGTTCCCTGCAGCCATCAGACAGGAACCATATGTTTCAAAGATAGATGAATACGAATAATTGTACGGCAGTCATACTAACCCAGGCTAGGAAAACATCAAGTACTAATAATCTGGCAGTCATACGCACAGTTTGTGGCTGAAAATATATTTGTCAGCACTTCAATGTATTATCTACCTATTTGTAAATTCTCAGGTGGTAATACCAAGGCAGGTACATCTAGAGCTAGATCTGTACCATGCTACAGTTCGGGTGCTTAAGAAGTGTGTGTAACTTCTGAGGTGGTAATACTAAGGCAGGTACTTGATCATCAAAAATTGGGGAATAGTTTATGTGCTTGATGCAAAATAATCTTCAGGCTTCCCTTTTTCTGAATGGCACGAGGAACACCGGTACCTATAGCGAGCAAAGTGGGGGTGGCAGCGCCGACATGCGCCGCGCGGTGGAGTCCCTGATTGTGGAGAAGACGAGGAACGAGGAGGTGCACGGCGCGCCAGGCGGAGGTGGAGGGCGGCGACCGGCGAGGAGGCGAGGAGGACACCGCGCGGCTCCGATGGCAGGCCGCCGCCGCCAAGGGCCGCTGCGCTGGGATCGGCCGTCCCTAGGGCGCCACCGCTGTGGATAGTCCATGGGAACGGCCTGCGATGCCGCCGCGGTGGTGCGCGCCTGTGGGGACAACCGGCGACGGAGGAGCCAAACCCTAGGCTGCGACCCGCTGCCTTGCGTCACGAGGAGGAAGAGGAGTGGTGGAGGACCAGGAGGAGGAGGACAAGGGTGGTTGCCGCCGCGTGGAGGGCCGGCCACCGCCGAGGTCGCCCTGCGCCGTCGCCTCGCTCGCATCGCGACTCGGGAGCGTAAGAGAGAGAGGAGGGGATGAGTGGGCCGACTGTGCTCTAGAATATATACTCAGAGTCATTTGTAGGTGCGGCACTAAAGACCAGCCGCCCCTACAAATGCATTTGTAGAGGCGGTTTTTGATTCAGTCGACCCTACAAATATTTTCACATATTTTTAAATATTACTTCTGCATATTTTTCCCGTACACATAAATGTATAAATGTAATAAAAATAATTTGCTATATTTTCCCGTACACATAAAAAATTACTTGCTATATATATATATATATATATATATATATATATATATAATAAAAAAATATTTAAAAATTAAAATTAAAATTTGTGAACTTCGAATTGAATTTTAAGACAAAAAATGATCTAAAATAAAAATGTTGTAAACATCAAGGTTGTAGAACTCATCAAGATGTACAACTTATATTTTGGTCATCTTTTCATTTGACAAAATTTAAATAAATTTTGAATTTTAATAAATGGCAACTTCAAACAAGATTTTGAAAACTTAAATGATTTCAAATAAGAAAGTCATGAACATAAAAGTTGTTGAACACATCACTATATACAGCTTTTATTTTGATCATCTTTTCATTTGACAAAATTGGAACAGTTCAAAATTTGAAATTTAATAAATAGCAACTTCAAAAAAGATTTTGAAACCTTAAATGATTTCAAATAAGAAAGTCATGAACATAAAAGTTGTTGAACACATCACTATCTATAACTTTTATTTTGGTCATCTTTTCATTTGACAAAATTTGAACAGTACAAATTTTGAATTTCAATAAATCGCAACTTGAAATAAGATTTTGAAACCTTAAATGATTTCAACTACAAAAGTCGTGAATATAAAAGTTGTTGAACTCATCACTATCTACAACTTTTATTTTGGTCACTTCTTTATGTGATAAAGTGTTCGTAAACATTGTTCATAAATTCATATATCACTCATAGTTTCATGAACTATATGCGAGACATGTTGATGTGTGAACAATGCTTACTATCACTTTGTCAGATGAAGAAATAACCAAAATAAAAGTTGTAGATCTTAATGAGTTATACATCTTTGGTATTCATCACTTTTTCAGCTGAAATCATTTAGTGTTTCAAAATCTTGTTAGAACTTGTCATTTTTTTAAATTTGAAAATTTGAATTACTCAAACTTTGTCAAACGAAAAGAATGACCAAATCAATACAGTAACTTGATAGGGCATAATTTTAGAGAATTTTAAAAAAAATCATCACATTTGGAGTTAGTATGAGGGAGAAAGACTAGTTACAAATTTTACCCAGAGATTAAAAAAAAATCACAACTGTTCATGATGATCAATGATGAACAAGTGTGATTTCTCTTTTTAATCGGTGGTTGAAACTTGTAACTAGCTTTTCTCCCTCATACTAACTCTAAATGTGATGGTTTTTTTCTAAAATTTTCTAAAATCATGCTCTATCATTTTAGTATGGTCATCTATCTTTGTTACTAATTTTGGACAATTCAAATTTTGAATTTCAGAAAATAATAACTTCAAACCTGATTTTCAACCACTAAATGATTTCTGCTGTAAAGGTGATGAATATAAAAGTTGTTGAACACATCACTATCTACAACTTTTATTTTGATCATCTTTTCATTTGACAAAATTTAAACAGTACAAATTTTGAATTTCAATAAATGACAACTTCAAACAACATTTTGAAACCTTAAATGATTTCAACTACAAAAGTCGTGAACATAAAAGTTGTTGAACTTATCACTATCTACAACTTTTATTTTGATCACTTTTTCATTTGACAGTGTTAGTAAACATTGTTCACAAATTCACATATCACTCATAGTTTCATGTAATATATGAGAGATATGTTGATTTGTGAACAATATTTACTATCACTTTGTCAGATGAAGAAAAAAAATCAAAATAAAAGTTGTAGATCTTGATGAGTTATACATATTTGGTATTCATCACTTTTTCAGCTAAAATCATTTAATGTTTCAAAATCTCATTAGAACTTGTTATTTTTTTGAATTTAAAATTTTAAATTGCTCAAACTTTGTCAAACGAAAAGAATGACCAAATCAATACAGTAACTTGATAGGGTGTGATTTTAGAAAATTTTAGGAAAAAAATTATCACATTTGAAGTTAGTACGAGGAAGAAAGGCTAGTTACAAATTTTATCCAGACATTAAAAAAAATCACAACTGTTCATGATGATCAATGATGAATAAGTGTGGTTTGTAGGGACGGCTGATGATTGAGCCGCCCCTACAAATCGTAGCACCGGGAGCGGCTGGTGAGTAAGCCTCTCCTACAAATCGACCCATTTGTAGGAGCGGCTCCATCACCAGTCACCTAAAATTTCTTACTAGCTCGTCGTCAGCTATGTAATAGCTGAGACGGGTTTTGTTGAACCTGATGTATGATATTGTGCCTTTCTTTCACCGATGGACCTCAACTTGTTTCTGTGTGTCATAAGTGTCAACCTCAGCTGCGGCCTCACGGCAGCCAATATCAGAGACGCGTATGGTTGGGCCGGGTCTCTAATTAGTCTGCCAGACACGCGTAGGGTTTGGCCGGGTCTCTAATTAGTCACCAGAGATACCCAATGTTGGTCCGTCTCTAATATAGGCCTTGTTTATATTGCAAGTTTTTTCACTCTCTCCATCACATCAAATCTTTGGACACATGTATAGAGTATTAAATGTAGATAAAAAATAACTAATTACACAGTTTGATTGTAAATTACGAGACGAATCTTTTAAGCCTAGTTAGGCCATGATTGGATAATAATTGTCAAATACAAACGAAAGTGCTACAGTGTCAAATACTGATTTCTAACCCCAATCTAAACAAGACCATAGTTTCTTTTTTTGTGTGTGTTTCTAGTATCTCTTGCTTGTGTGGTTTGGGGCTCGATTCTCAAACAAAAGATAACCGTGCATCCATCATCGCCAACCTGTATCCACGACTCCACGAGGACGACTAAGATCTGCTGGGTGGTGGCCACTGGCAGTATTTTTTTTTTTTCTTTGGGACTGAGGGAATACTGGTGACGATCGAGACCGAGACAGCAACCTGATAGGCCTTGCCGGCGACTCCAGCATCGACGTGACCGGTCGTCGACGCCACGCAGTTTGCTTGAATGGGACAAACGCAAAACGTTGCGTGCCGGGTACACATTACAGTACACAGTTACGACGTGCTCGGGGAGAAAGCACGTACTGTGCCTGACTCAGCCATGCATTGACGTGTAGTAGTACTGTACGCGCTATGCACCAATGCAGCCGGTCAATCACCGTGTCTGATCGCATGACGACTGGTCCATTCCTGCCGCGGATTCCTGCTCATTGCCGTGCGCCCGTGTCTGCCAGTAGCTAGTTTACTACTATGCGCGTTACTGCCATGCCAATGCACGCACCACAGTACGTACGTACGTGCCTATCCGGGCAATAGAAGAAAATAGTAAACGTGTGTGCAAGTGTGCATATGGTACTACGTGCGTACATTCATCTCCTGTTCACCGTATCCATGGTTTCCATCACTGCGTCAGCGTGCACGTACGCATGTGTACTCCTGTTTTTTTTAATCTGAAATGAAAGGTGTACTGGTGTATTATAACGTGGCAGCAAAACTGCTGCAAAACCGTGCGGCAGCTGGTGCTCATCAACAGTGTACGAATGCGTTTATTTGTTGGGCCCTGAAAAGAATACAATTCGAGTAATGCA